CAGTACTAGGGAAACAGGGAGACAACTGCCCTGAGTTCGCAGCGAGGGTGCTAAGCGCCTGTGTGCTCTGTGGCTTGAGAAAAAGCCCATCGGTGATTAAGGAGCCACTCTCCCCGCTTGCAAACAGGCGACAATGACAGGGGGTTGGTGCCAGGACCCTCCAGAGCGCCGGCCCAGGCTGGACCGTAAGTCGATTTTGACTTTAACCTTCGCCTGGCGCCCGCTGTCCCCCCACCACCCACACGCGGCCGCCTGGCCTCCACTGTAACCCCGGGTCCTCTCCTCTGTCGCGCGTGGACCCGCGACACCGCGCGCCCGGGGCAGGGCCGGGCGGGGAGTGGCCGAGCGCCGGGGAGGGCGTCGAAGGGGGGGGGGGGGGGGGGGGAGCCCCGGGGGAGCCCCGGGGAAGTGCCGACGGGCTGTCTCTTAACGAGTGCAGATTAATGTCCCATCTCACACTAAGCTCTCCTAAGTGCCGTTGCTCCAGCCCAAACACTGCGAGCGTGGCGAGGCGTCGCCTGCCACTCAAAACGCCGATCTTTCCCAGCCTGTTGAAATAACCCGCCGGGGACGCCGAAGGTGCTGACGGCCACGTTTGTCAGCGCGCGGAGCCACACGGGACCCTCCTCGGCGGCGACCGGGGCTCGGAACCAATCCAACGCGCGCGAGCGCGGCCGCACTCGGCGCGGCTCCTCCCTCGGCCACGCACGCCCTCCCCTCTGGTTTCCCGAAGATTCGCGCGGGGAGAGGCTGTTTTTGGGGACCCAGGGGTCTGCGGCGGGGGCGACTTAGGTCTCCGCGAACCGGCTCCCTGCCCCGCACTGTCGCAGGCTCGCCTGGGCGGCCCGTGCCACGTAGGCGCAGAAGGCTACAGATGGAGACCCGGCAAAGAACCGGACCGGGACGGCCGGCTTGCCCGGACCCCCTCGGCCCTAACAGGCCCCAGTCCCCCGGCAGACTCCCTGCCCACGCCCCACGTCCAACTGGGAGGCTCCGTCCCCTGGGCCGGAGGCGGGGAGGGATCCAGGTGAGGGAGGGAGGAAAGGAGGGATCTGGCTCCCCTAAGAGCGCTTTCCATCCCGGAAACTCGCTTGAGGTCCCCTCCCGACCCCCTACCCCCCGGGTGCGGCTTCAGCTGGCCGTGGCGGCGACCCGGGCCTCGGGGACGGGGGGAGGCGCTGGAATCCTTGCAGCCTTTTTGGAGACTTGGCGCTTTCAAGAGCTCTTTACCTGAAACTGACACCCGCAAGCACTCCCCGGGGACCTGTTGGGCAGATGGAGTGGCAGGGCCAGGCGGGGCCTGTTGGCGAGACACGGGGACATTTGTCATGGGTGACCCGGCGCCTCGGCTTCTGAGCCCACGCCGGCGCGGGGAGGCCCGCGCTAATGTAATAAAGCGAGAGCGACAAGAGGAAAGGCCTCTCTCGCCCCGGGGCCGCCACATGCTCACTCCGTTTTACTGTCAGGGCTGGTCGAGGCTGTGGCTTCATTTCATATTCCATTAATATTTACAGCAGCTATTGAATTTCCCATTACAAAGTTCACCATACACACTGCTAATATGAAATTTTAATAGTATTGTGCACATTATGAAAAGTCCCACCATTAAGAGGGGACGCGGGAGGGTCCTAGGGAGAAGTTGCCCTGGGAAGTTATCCTCCACTGAACGCTTGAAATGCCCCCCAACGCCCCCCTCCCAGGTCATTACATGAATTCATTTGCGACTATTACCATAAAGACGCGAAACGGTGGGCATTTTATCAACACGGAAATCAAAAGCGAAGGAGGGAGGCAAGTGGGTAAAAAGCCCGCTGGTTAAACTGAGTTTGCAAAGTTGTGCCTGTTGGTGCTTTGCCGTGACTTACGGATGTTTCTACACCGCCGCAGCTAGGCGTCCCTGGGGGGCAAGGGGGCGCCTGAGGAACCGGCAGAAGTTTCCAGGTTGGGCTGGGTTCCGGCCGCAGCCGGTCCGAGGCGGAGGCTCCAAGCGCCGGCGGGGCGGTGGGCGAGGCCGCCCTCTCCTCCCCACTCCCCTTCCCCGTACGCCTGGCTCTAAGCTCTAGAAGTTCCCAAGGCTGCAGTCCTGGGGTGGCCCCGGGGGGAGGAGGGACCTCCCCCGAGAACCGTGTCATCTGTTTGGCGACTTCTCAGGACTGGCACCCTAAGTTCGGGTGGTTCTCTGGCAGGAAGATTGCCCAGAGAAACGTGGTTCCCTTGCCACGTGTTTTGCAACGGAGCAGCGAGGGGCAAATGCTACCCTGGAGGGAAAAGGAGAGGAGGGGGAAGGAAGAGAAGGAATGTGGCCTGGACCCTTGGAAGGGCGGGTGCACACACCCTAACCCCAAGGTCCCGCCGCCCAAAGCGGCCCGAGGGAGGCAAACCCAAAGGCTCCAAGATGGCAACACCGAGCCCTAGGATACAGTTTGTCTCGACGGCCCCTCGAGGGCTGCACAGTGGAGCGGGGGCGCCGGGGCTGGAGACGCACCGTCTGCTGCAGAAGGGGAGCGGGGGGCGTCCCCTTCCTCCAGGGCTCGCAGGCGGGTGGGTCCGTGCGCCCACCTTCCACTCGGGTCCGAGCCCCGCCCACCTGGGTGCCGCCCCCCCCAGGCCGCCCTCCAGAACCTGTCGCCTTCCCAGTCTGTGCCAGCATAAGGACAGTCAACTTCCTGGAAGACCCG